CCTTGCTGAGCATGGAGCCTACGACCCAGCTGCGTGGACCTGCTCCTGTCTGCTCCGTTCTGGCTCTCTGCACTGCCTCCCACTTGCCTCAGTTTATTTAACTTCTTTTCCTAGGTGGAAAACGAAATAATGACCCTCCCTTGCAGCTGCGCCTTGACGCAGCTCCGTGTCCTGGCTGTGTCACCTCAGGAGCTGCCAATCTGTGTGTGTGGAGCTGCCAGGGCCGCGGCGCTCCGAGGGCTGAGCCACCATGCGCAGGGCAGCACGTTAGCGCCAGCTACTCCTCCGCCCTCACTGCCCTTCCGCCCGGCTGGCTGCGGCGCTTCGCCCGCTCCCCTGCCCTTTCCATATGCAGGAGCTCTCGGAGCACAGCCACCCCTGCAGGATGCCCTGGCACCCGCTGCGTCCCCTCTGCATCCCCGCTCTGCAGCTCTGACCTCCACCCGACGGAGCCCCATTTGTCCCATGGCCTCTGGAGTATCTCCTGAATCCGTCCTTTGGATTGTCCTAGGAACCAGGGCTCCTCTCTGGGTACCATGGGCACAGGGCGCTTGGCCAAGCCGCACAGGGAGGGCCAGCCGGGTGCAGGGAGGCCAGTGACGGGCTCTGCCCTCGGGGCGGCAGCGCCGTGGCCGCCGTGGGGCACCAGCACTAGGGGGAAGTGTTGGCTAAGCCATGAGGCTGCGTGGTCGCCAGTCCCGGCCCCGGGCTCTGTGCGCCCTGCGATGCTTTCACTGGCGCCAGGCAGTCTGTGCTCTGAAACGTGTCCCCAGAACTGGGAGACCTCTAAAAAAAAACGACCCTTCACCCCCACTCCGATAACTTGTGCTTTATGGCCACATGCGGTTACATGGAGCAATTTTGCAATGCCCTTTGCAGCCCTTTCAGGTGCTCTGCTGTGACAGGGGTCCTGGGGCCTGTCTCATCGCTAGCCTGGTCATCGTCCCTGTGATGCTTCTCACCAAGAGCCTCTTTCCTTGCTTTTCTCCCAGCAGTTGGAGCAGTGGCACTTGGGGCCCTCACCCCTGGGCACCTCCGGAAGCGACAAAACCCCGGGCTGTGTCCAGCCGAGCCGGGGTGGAGACGCCACTGCCCTGTCTGTGGGATGCAGGTTGCAGGTGACGGTTCTGCAGTAATTTCCCGCCCTGCTCCGTGAAGGGGCTGCGTTGTAATTAACGTTTGCAAATTGCTTTGTGGGCTGCCGCTGCGCGAGGATGCGCTGTGAAAACCGGGTGCTGGAGCAGGGCTGGCCGGTTCTGGCCACGTCCCCCTGGAGCCAGGCCCGCGCTCCGGAGCTCCACGATGCCTCTTCCCATGGGGAGCAGCACCCCCATCCTGGGGGATGCCTGATCCCATCATCCCGGCAGCCGCCCCTATGGCTTTCCCCAGTTTTTGGCTGGGACCATGCGGCCTCGCAGCAAGGCTCCCTCGCGCTTGGCAATGTGCCGCGGTGCCTAATTGCCCGGCTGCGGCGCCGCGTGCCGGCTCGCTGCCCGCCGCGGCGCCGCGTGGCCAGGTGCCAGCACTGCCTATGGACTCTGCCGGCGGCTGCCGCTAACGAGCGGCAGCAACCAGGCGGCAGCAGCGCGGCCGGGCACCGCTGTGCTCCCCACATCGGGGTCACTTAATGGATTTGTCTCCATGCTCTGCTGGCAACAGCCTGGGACTGGCTGGAAATTAGCCCTTAGTTTCCTGTGTGCATCCACCAAAATAGCCAAACTGCTAAACGGGACGGTGTCCTAGTTGGGTGGCAGAGATGCGTCCACCCTTGCTTTGCTGGCACTTGGGTGCCCTGGGATTCCTGCTGCACACCTTTCCCTTTTCAGCAGGAAAAGTTTCTTTGGATAGTAAATCTTTTCAATGATTTCCAGGACAATGCAGCTAAAGTTAAGGAATTGGGTAGAAGTTTTCCCTGCCTGCAGCAGGCTGGAATTGCAAGCCTACAGTGATTTAGGCAAGCAGGCGTTCGAGTGACAGCAAGGGGAGCTCTGCGGACAGTTTCCTTTGAGTTGAGCAAGAATCGGGGACAAAAAGGGCATTAGGGGAGAGGCTGGCACTGGGCACCGGGCAGGGAAGCGATGAAGCCCAGGTGCGCCGTAGAGCTCCGGCATCTCCGCCAGCACCGGCCAGCGGCTCCACAGGGCTCCGGGCACCTTGTGCTATCCTGGCCAAGGAGCTGGAACGCTCCAGCACCAGGCGCTGAGCAGCACCCAAAAAGGGAACCTGTAAAAGCAGTGCCTGGCGCTGCGGGCGACAGGATGGTCTCCTACTGTTACGGCTGCTCAAACAACCAAGTAACTATGGAATTGATTAGTCTCGAGGGATATGGTGAAGCTTGATTAATTTAGTAATTATTATCTCAAGGCTTTTCACTCCACAAGGGCCTGATCCAAAGCTCCTTGGAGGTGCTGGAGCAGCTCCAAGCCCGGTGCCACCCAGCAGAGGCAGTGACAGCTCCTTCCAGGAACAGGTAATCCAGGCTGGAATTTCTCTTCTCAACATGGTGGCTGCCCAGCCTCGTGAGGCCGCGAGGTCTCTGGAGGGAACCCAAGCACCCAGGAGCATCTCCAGCAGCATTGTGGGCCCTGACCGACCCATCCGTGTCCTGGCTCCGGCAGGGAGCCACTGCAGGCCCTGTCAGTGTGAGGAAAAGGCTTTTAGTGGCTTGGCTTGATAAATGAAAACAAATAAAGTTGATAGACAAGTGGACAGCTTTATGATAGCTTCACACTGACAGCAAGAAAGATTGGTTGTCGGTGCCTTGATAGAGAAATATCTCGATGGGAGTCGGGTAAAGAGATGGATAACCTTGGTGACAGAGGGGAGGCTGCTCGGCCGGTGTTATTCCAAACACTCTTGCCTTTATTTGTTTTGCCTTTCTGAAGAAGGGGGATGCTGAATACCCCAGTCCATTGAATTGTTCAAAATAGATTTGCTAAATAAATAATGCTGGTGATGCATATTTTATTTCTATCCCACCGCTCTGCGTGGAGCTCAAGGTGTTCTACAAGGCAGCGTCAGCTCCCTCTCCGGGCTAACAAACCCCAAACTAAAGCACATTAGATTGAGACAGATTTACAGGAGATTTAGAGGCTGAACCATAATGACGGGCAGCATGCGGGACTGGCAGAAGCGCACAGCAGCAGTGTCCAACGCTCATTGAGCTTAATGGGCACCTTCTTGCTCTCTGGAATCCGCCTGGATGCAGATTTGCATCCAGAGGCATCAGGGGTGCTGGGAAGCAGCTCAGGCGCTGCAGCTGTGGGTGCGCGGGATGTGGGTGCCCAGGACAGTGCTCCGGTCTTGGGGCTGGGTGCCAGCTCACACCTTGAATGTGGAATCCCTGTGGTTTTGGTGCATTTTCCCCAGCCCCTCGAGTGAGCAAGCGTGGCGCAGTGCACGAGGGGCCTGGGATCCAGGTACACGAGGACCAGGGAGCCACAGTGCATAAGGACTAGGGAGGCATGGTGCATAAGGACCAAGGAACCACAGTGAATGAAGATCATGGATCTGTGGTGCATGAGGACTAGGCAACCGCGGTGTGCATGGACCAGGGAACCATGGTGCACAAGGACTAGGGAGTCATGGTGCATGAGGACCATGGAATTGCAGTGCAAGAAGACTACAGATCTGTGGTGCATGAGGATGTGCAAACCGCAGAGCAGAAGGACCATGGATCTGCGGTGCACGAGCATCCGGAGCTGCTCTGCACGAGGAGCGGGAGGCCCGTCACGGAGCCAGAGCTGCAGCCGTGTGCGGGCCTGGCCTGCAAGCACACAAGGACAAAGGGGCCACGGCGGCTGCCGGCGAGGGTGTGCTGTGCTCGAGGGGCTGCGAAGGCGCCGCTCAATGAGCGGCAGCGTTTCCCATGAGTGCTGCAAAGGAAAGCGATGCGTTAATGCAAATTATTATTTAATTTTATCCCTGGATCGGAGGTGAAAAAAATGTATATGCATGGTGGAGGGGAGCGCGTTCCTCCTGCATCCGTGTCTGCCGTGCTACCCAGTGCCTGGCCCCGGGGGGGGCCTGTCTCTGTCCCTGCCCTTGCTGCGTGCTGTCACTCCAGCAGCTTGCAGGTATATTTCCATTTCCACTCCAGTCTTGGCAAAGCAGACTCCCTCTTTTGGAAAAGACCCCCAAATTGGCACTGTTGCAGTAGGACTCCCTCCCCGCACTCCAAAACACCCCCTCCTTTAAAGCACCCCCAAACCTCCTCCCTTGTGAAGTGATGCCCCCAACCTCCACT